GCGCGCGTTTCATTATGAATTCTTCGCGCGCTTCTTACCCGGTCTTTACGCCGACGATTCTGGAAATTGCACTCTCCTCTTGTACCAGGGAGCAGAATTTCGTCGAGGGTCGCGAAAACGGGTAATTTAGTTGATTCACGGGGCCATCGAGTATTGCCTCCCGCCTGCAGCGAGTTCTCTTCCACGTAATCTGAAAACGAATTTTTTCGCCGGTCTGTTTTTCCTGATATTTCAGAAACTAATTGCAAGAAAAAGAAAATCGACACCGATACACATCTTCTTTTCAAAAGTCACGCGATAAATTAATATTGGTGGCAACGTATAGTATCAACTTTCTGAGTTATGAGTTTTTTGTGCCTTCTAAATTTCGGAGCCAGAAGAGGCGAACGTGTTTCCTGTTGACTGAATTTTCCTTAATCAGATATTGGCGAAGTCGTCGGTCCGACTGAAATTTCTACAGCTTCCGCGCGAGCCAATCGAGCGAAACTTGCGCAACGTAGCGATGCTTGTGGGTTTTATCTGCGAACGTGTAACGTTGCTACATTGTGAATCAATCGAGCGAAACTCGAACAATGGAGTTTGTTGCTATTAGAGTCTTCCTTTCTGTAAATACCGAAGCGTTCGAGTACGGATGATTGCGTAAGATCCACGTGAATTTGTCAGCTCCGATTATACTTCTCAAGGTACATTGGAACCTCCATTATCCGTATAAACACGTCGACTGCCAGACCTGACGCTTAAAATTCTCAGATTCATTTATTCAAACAGCAGAATATGTTAGTTATATTTTTTTTTTAACTCACCTTTAGTATCATAGTTTGGAGACCACTTTTTTAGAATATCCAAAAATTTCTTATTTTATCGTTTCAAAAACTTATGCAGTTGACTTCGATACCTGAAAAGTAAGAACAGGTTGTTTTACCATTTACAGTTGTAAGTGTATAAATTACATAGTTTAATAATCTTAGAAATAATTCAAACACACATTCCCAAGGGGTTGTTTGATGGGCGCATAAACGCACGAAGAGCGTATTTCCCCCAGGCCTCGTCCAACGAGAAAAACGTTTCGTTCGTTGTCGAATGTCTCGGAGGAACGATCGTAAATTCCTTATTGTCATTGCAAGGAGGAATGCGTTTATTTCCACGGTCTAATATAACGCGTTTCTTTTAATAGTCGTCGAGTTCTTTTCCTCGGTCGTTTAGCCTCGCGGAAAAAAAGCAAATTAGCGGCGGCGGTCGTCGAACCGCGGTCTCGGGAATCATCAGGCGTCTTCGTTATTGAAGAAATATTACTTCGTGTGTTAACGAGAACGATATATACTCGCCGTGAAGATAGCTTTCGCGAAATTAATTGACGCGAATTGCGCGGACCGCTATGTTATCCTCGTTCCCGCGATGTTTTACGAATTTCATACGCGCAACGACCGAGATATCCTGTACGAAGAAAAGAACTAAACGAGAATTTACGGATCAGTGTTCGAAATAGTGGCGCCTACTATCGACGATAATAATATTGCGACTTTATTGTACCAAATTGTAGTGGCGAATATCGATAATATATCGAGAATATCGAGACGGTATCGGCAAACCTTGAAGTATCGAAACATTATCGAATATAAATGTCGGTAATATGGAAAGAGTATCGATAATATCGTTAACTCTCTTAATACGAATTTTTGTTTGCTTCTGGGGGAAATTATATAATAGATTTAATAAACATTGATAAGAGGATGCACGTTAAAAGTGTGTAGTATACTATCGCGTATAAATGAATTCTAAGTTCACATTATTAACGGATAATAATAGTAATAATACGCTTTTATCGTGGTAAATTTGTATGCGATAATAAATTAGAGTCGAGTGAAAGGAAAGAGATGAAGCACATAAGTATACGTTAGGTATAAAGGTGAGGTATACCTGCTTAATCTTCAGTTAAAAGTGTATCATTTATCTACGCTATTATCTCGTTTGTTTCGAATAACAACGAAGCATAACCAGGGCAAACCAAGTAGTAATTTTCCCAATTTTTCTTGGCCTTTTCTCCGTCTCGGTGATCCAAAGTTGATTCAGTGAAGTATCAAGGCTTTATTCCAACACAGTTTTTGTGCGATAGTCTGTGTATAAGTAATTATCATATTCATGATGAATGACAAACTTTGAGATAACCTATTTACATAAAGGAGATCATTGGGAACAAATGTTCTATATAAATAATGTAGGATTACGCACGAATGAATCTGAATACGAAGTTCAAATATACAAATTCAAATTCATGTATTATCCTCTTATCGAAGAATTCAATTGTCAAAGTTGCTTTTGCTTGTTGTTTACAATAGTGAATATTTTATAGTTTTTTTTGTATAAACGCTTCACTGAGCGACGTCTTCCGAGGTTCGGGGAGACGTTGCGAAACATTCGTTGCTACGCAGTTCAGTTAGAAAACATTTTTCCGATAAACGATCTGTGAGAGATTGTCGCGTAATTGGCATGAGACGACCGATGAATTATTCACTGGGGAAACGAGACACGATTCGCAAGCGTTGAAAACCGCAACAGATAACCCGGCGGAGTTTCATAGGCACGCTAAGATTAGTCAAACCGTGAATCGCGTAGATTCGAGTGCTAGATGCGGAGTCACTGCGTTCGAAATAATAAGAAGAATTACCGTAACGCCTTCATTTTAGAAACTACTCTACAGGTTATTACTCTTGTGTTAAAAAAATACAAAACCGTACAACTTTTCCTAGGAACAGTAACTAAACAAAGAGAACGTTGACTTGATATTCAAGATTACTAGTATTGATATAATAATAACCATAGCTATAGTGGCCTATACTTTCCGCCGGAGCATACAGAGCAACAAAATTTCCCTTAGATCGAGCAAACACGGTAGAAGTTACAGGGAAATCGCAAACTCACAGATCTGGAATTTTATCTATATACACAACGGACCCGAATACGAATATTGGCAGCGAGTATTCACCGTGCATCGAGCAGGAGCAATACGGAATACATCGAGACTCGGTACATAGCAGCTTTCCAAATGTAGGTCAGTCCGTCCGACCACATAATTCTCTCAACAGTTCCGCAGAGTGTATATCCGTTTCGCCGTGCAGCGCGCACTTCAACAATACAAACTCTGTTTCCGGTTTTTAAGCGTCTCCCGCGCTCGCGTTTCCGTGTTCTTTCGCGCAAAAATGTTTTTCCCCTGGAAATATTACCGCTTCTCGCGATCCTGCCCGCAACACGTGTTACCGTCGTAAATCCCCGACGAGACTTTACGTCGGGCAAAGTGTGTTTCGCGAGGCACGTACCTCTGCTCCTTTTTTTTTTTCTTTCCCCTCCCGTTTTTTTTCCACGCATTGTTAAAGCCAACATATTGTTATTCCCGGAACGTCGCCGGCCGACAATGGCGTATCCGTTTTCGGGATGCAATCATCCCTATAAATGCGTTCTGCTCGATAACGGCGCGCAGGTGTTCTTTCATCGTGCATCCACCTCGCGCGTGCATTTTTTTCCGCGCGCGTATTTTTCCCCCTCGACATCAATGCGTCGATCGGCCGCTAGCCCCGGCGAGCTTTTCACCTCGCTGACAATACGAGACCCGCTTACTTTCGCGCGAATGTCCATTTTCGAACCGTTGTACCACGTTGTCGCGAACCATTGATCGCCAGAATCAGAATTTCCAAATAATACGATGCTGCGTTCAAAAAGTAACCAGATCGACTTCCTGAAACAATCGACTCGTCCTATACGTAATCTCTTCGATTCCATCTTCAACGAATTTCGAAGATTTCTATCGCCGAAAAGGTGTCAATGTTATTAATTCAGAAACTAATTTCAAGTTCGAATATTAAGAGCAGTATTTTCATAGAGGTTCTCGCCAGAATGAGAATTTCCAAATAATACGATGCTGCGTTCAAAAAGTAACTAGATCGACTTCCTGAAACAATCGACTCGTCCTATACGTAATCTCTTCGATTCCATCTTCAACGAATTTCGAAGATTTCTATCGCTGAAAAGGTGTCAATGTTATTAATTCAGAAACTAATTTCAAGTTCGAATATTAAGAGCCGTATTTTCATAGAGGTTCGTCCTCCGTCCGGCGGATATTGTAATTCCTCCATCGTCGAAGACAACGCGGCGAGGACTCGCCTCGTGCATTCTGTCGCTCGGAAATGTGGCCGAAGGAGGTGCTAGCTAACCCCGGTTGTTACTTTCTCTTTCGACGAACGTTACGGGCTGCGTGAGTTCGCGAAGGTCGCCCGATCCTTTTCATGCCCGCCACTTCCGGTGCCTCTGGCTTCTCATTAGTGCCGGGACGAGTCTCGTCCGAAGACCGCGGAGATTGCTTCGCGCGATGAATTCCCTTCGGAACGGTTTTACCAGTCGTCTCTGCCCTCCCGGCGCACCTCTCCGCCGGCAGCTTCCTGCGCCGCAAAACGCATTTTATTCGCGGCCTAATTGCGTTTCACTTTGCGCGCGAAAAGCGTCGCAACAGCGTTAACCAATTAAGGACCGAATTTAAAATAGCCGACAACGTTTTTGCCTTATCCTTCCGCTGTACGAGACATTTTTCGCGTTTCCTTCCAGTCACGGTCGAATTACAGTTTTTTGAGAAACTATTTGAAGGCCTCGATAAGGAAACACGATATGCAAGAAGTAGTTCTACTTTGGAGAAAATAATTTCAATAACTTGTCTTTCCTGTTAACCGGCGGACGAGAAATTATACTTACTCTCCAAGCGATGTTCCAGTCTTATTTGCGTGAATTCTTAAAATTGAATTCCTCTTTCGACTACAGTATTGACATGTTATTCCTCTTCTTTAGTCCGATCGTTGACGAATGAATGTAAATTTCGTTACTCTGCGATCATAATAAACGTTATGTTTCTGCAAGGGTAAGACTTCGTCAAAACAGAGTTGCCAACAGTGTTTACAGTTTAAGTTATATCAATGAACTGTAACTGTGTAATAAGAATCGGTTGTTCCATTGCGCAGATTATCGGAGCCGACGGGTCACATCCACGACGGTATCGGGAACTACACGGCGGACGTGAAGTGTTCCTGGCTGATCGAGAGCAATCCGAATTCCACGATACGCATGCACGTGGAACAGTTCGCGACAGAATGTAGGTGGGATCATCTGTACATCTACGACGGTGACAGCGTCGAGGCGCCGCTGCTAGCCGTCTTTTCCGGCCTGATGCACAAGGACGGTTATCACATACGCCGCGTGCCGGAAGTAATAGCCCGTTCCGGAAGCGCGTTGCTGCACTTCTACTCGGACTTCGCCTACAACATGAGCGGTTTCAATATTACTTACAAGATCAACGCCTGTTCCAGCAGGTAAAACGATCTTCCTGCTACTGTTTGCGCACGGAGATAGGACGATTTGCTTGCGAACAGTGCGCGTTTTATTTGTGTACTCTCCATCCCCGTGCCAATCGTGCCCCTTATTTTTTCCGTCAAACTGTTTGCACCGCGCATACATCGGCCTGTTTGAACCGGTGCAACAACTGGAATCCGAGAGCTCGCTTCATTCATTTTATTCCCCTATACGTTCTCTGCAAGGAAATTGTACCTATCAAATACGTATATTGTATAGATATTTACCTCTTATTCAAAGCTTACCATTTACCCACTTGAATCCTTGCGATTATCTGAAATTTGTTTTAAAACTAGGGCCAATTTCTCTCGTTCCAAAAAAACGATTAGAACACGGCGTCTAAATTAAAGCATATCTCTAAAGTAGACCAACTTACATAACTAAATTCAATTCAATGTAAAAGCTTGTTTGTTCCATACAAATTTTCTCCGCACACAACCGAGTGTTGTTTACACGTAAAACTGTTTAAACGCGGTTGCAGTGATTAAATACACATTCCTTCTATCGGTGGAAGTACGATAAGATCATTGTTTACCTTGCGATCAAACGATGGCACGCGGTCGTCCCCTTCCTTGAAGTTTGCGTATCATCTTCTTCTCACGTGTACGTGTTTCGTGGGTCCCCTCAGGTATTCGCACATCGACTGTTCCGGCCACGGTGTTTGCATAGACGGTGTGTGTACGTGCGACGCTACGTGGACCGGCGAGGCCTGCGAGGTCCAGGTCTGCCCCGACAATTGTTCTCACAGCTACGGACAAGGCGAGTGCAATCGCGAGAGCCATCACTGCGACTGCGTCCACGGCTACAAGGGTGAGAGGATCATCCCTGAAACTTCGTCGAGTTCAGTCGCATGGAAAACCCGACTCTGACTTGCCCTCCCCCTCCTCTCCCCCTCCGGAGGGGAAGTTGTTTTTCAACGTCCGACCGTTTAGAACTTTCATCGTTTGCGGCTGCCAACCGGAGGAGACACTTTGGACAGCATATTTGTACCGTCGCGAATGTCTGCCGAGTACATCTGGCTCGCTCGACGAACTTTCAGCATTTTCCTAGAGAGCTTTCGATGGTACCTACACGTAAACTGGCTGCTTCCGTTAGAAACTTGTAACGTCGTCGCGGAGACGGCATCCGGCGCTATTTAACTTCACGGGGATATTCTAGTCTCAAAGAAAAGCAAGGACATTTTTGGAATTTTATAAAAGAAATACTATTTATATTGCAAACGCTGTATTTATACCAACTGTATTGGCAATAAGAAACTGTTTCCCCTTTCACATAGTTTTAATAAGTTACTGCTTAGCAATGGCGTGAATATCCATTGTAGTACAGTTTTCCATGCGACACTGTGTATCTTCCCATTCTGACCCGAGGATTCTAACCGTTGACAAATGTTCAGGTTCAGACTGCAGCCAGAGGAGCGACCGCGGCTTTTGGGAAACCGTCGCGTACACGGATTTCTCGCCGGAGGGTTCAGCTAGTCATTGCTCCATCGTTTGGAAGGATTCCCTGTACGTGGTCGGCGGCGAGAGCTTCCACCGCGCTAAGATGATATACGTCTACGATTACAATGGGAACGTCTGGGAGACTCCGCATGTCGAGGGAAAGGTCCCCTTGCCCCGTTACGCTCACTCGTGCGTGCTGTTCGGCGACAAGATATTCATGTACGGAGGCGTTGTACAGAATTCCACCGTGACGAACGAGATCTGGGCGTTTGACGTGTCGGCGAAAGTTTGGGAGAATGTCACCGTGCACGACAACTGCCACAACAACAAAACCATGTGCGGGCCCTTAAAGGTGATCAAATCGTTTCCTGTCTCGCTATTTATTAGCAAACGTCGACACTTTTACCGTTATTACGGAACATTTATTAAAAACAATATCACTTGAATTTGCTCACCTCGCGCCAAAGTATCGAAAGATTCTAAAAATGTTTTCACATGTTCCCTTTCTTGGGAAAGGAATCGAGGATTCCAACTCTTTGTTATTGCATAATGTAGCGAGTCCCCGATTCACGCGATTAATTCCTTCCGAAGCTTTCGAATCGTATGAACACGACGTGTTGCTGGGAGAAAGAAAGATCAGTTCCGGGTCAAGAAGAATGCAGTACCGCGGGGAAAAGGAATGTGAACAGTGTCGAGTAAATTCTGCTTATAAGAATTGTTAGTTACGAGTCTCACGTGGGCTGACTGAACTGATCTCTTCTTCTTCCTGCAACGCGTATAATTCTTAGTTTCGAAAGTTAAATACGAGCAGTTTCGTTTAACGAGTTACTTCACACAGGTAACTGGCCATACCGCGACCCTGGTGCAGAGTCACGGAAAGAAAGAGAAGATGGTGGTGATATTTGGTTATTCGCCCCAGTATGGCTACCTGAACGTAGTGCAAGAATACTACCTGGGCACACGCGAATGGCAGATAGTCGAAACGGTTGGTTTCCCCGTGAAAGGTGGCTACGGTCACACGTCCGCCTACGATCCCCTGACGAATCTGATCTACGTGTACAGCGGTTACGTGTCCGAGTCGCAGAGCACGCAGGTGTTGACCAACAGATTATACTCTTATCACCCGAATTACCGCTTGTGGACGTTACTGACATCGGCGCCGTCGGCTCGGTTCTTTCACACGGCCGTGTTCGTCTCCGGCGGCCTGATGATCGTGTTCGGCGGCAATATGCACAACGACACGCAACATTTGGACGGCACCAGGTGTTATTCCGCGGACACGATGGCGTACGACGTTACCTGCGACTCGTGGCACCCGTTCCCAATGCCTAAAGAGATGACAGACTTGCCCAGATACGGGCACACCGCGACCGTGTTCGAGAAATCGATGTACATCTACGGAGGATTCGACGGCCAGATGCTGTCCGACATGCTCAGGTAGTTTGATCCTAGATCAAGAATATCCGACTTGAGATCAATCTCTGCGGTACCAAAGTGATGACAACTTTGTTTGTTTGTGCGTAATAGGTACACACCGGGGAATTGCGAGCATCTGACGAATCAGAACCAATGTCTGAACGCGAGGATAGGTGTGAAGTGCGTGTGGGATAAGCAGGATAGTCGGTGTTTACAAATCACCAAGATACCGACGCACGTGCTCATGAACGACGACATGCACGACGGAATTTACATGAGATGCCTGGACGACGCGCCGCCACGCGGTATGACGTCCCACAAGGAGTTGTGCAAGCTGCTCACGGACTGTGTGGCATGCGTGCAGACGTCGTACAATTGCGTCTGGTGCGGTAAAAGCTGCTCGCACGAGATATGCCGGGACAATGCGAATGCACCACCGACAAAGGCCATCACGGATTTGGAACAGTGCGACGCGCATACCGGCATCGAGTGTCTGCAATTGCACACATGCCACGCGTGCTCCAGCAATCCACGATGCATTTGGTCCTGGTCGAACGGACCTGACCGCTGCAAGCCCCACACGAAAGCTCGTGACGTGAGCACTCAGGTAAACAAAAAATAACCTAACGAACAGAACACTACAACGACGAACTAACTTTGACACAAGATCTATCAAGAAGGTCAGAAGGTCGTTTCTAAATTATTCCCCAATATATGGGAACCCTATTAATGGATGGAACGGAGGGTCATTTAGTTTGTCGATAGTGTCTCTTAATTTGATTTACTAATACTTAATAAATAATGTACCCTTATTGATACTTTCATAGCAGGTGACCATTTTAAATGGGACTATACAAGCGCAGCGATTGTCGATAGACTCGTGTCGCAATCTGTGCGAGGAGTTCACATCTTGCAAAAATTGTACGGAGTCGGATTGCATTTGGTGTCAGAACGAGAAGAAGTGTGTGGACAAGACCGCGTATCCGGCGAGCTTTCCTTATGGGCAATGCCGTGATTGGATCACGATCGACGCGAAATGTCGCGCCACAGAGACGGGAAAGGAATGGTGTACGTTTTACTCGTCCTGCGCGACGTGTCGATCGGATCCCGGATGTGGATGGTGCGACGACGGTTCAGGAACCGGAAAGGGACTCTGCCTGCCAGGTGGAGCGCGTGGCCCGAGCAGCAAAAGCTTGGACACGTGCTCCTTTGAGCGATGGTACTTTACCAAATGTCCTAGTAAGTGAACTGCGAGACAATGGAACATTGTACATACTACATTTTGTTCCATTTTACTCTGTACCAAAGGGTGTCTCCCGTTAGACTAACAAATGAATAATTTCAGCTTGTCAATGCAACGGCCACAGCAAGTGTCTTCCAAATAGCAGCGTGTGCATTCAGCCGTGTGGAAATTTAACTTATGGACCACACTGCGACAAGTGCATCCCTGGTTATTACGGGAGTCCTCTGAACGGAGCAACTTGCCAACGTAAATACATTACTTCGTCATTGAGCTACCTGTGTTGATATCGAGCCTTTATCGAGTTAATGTTTTCGCGTTACAGCCTGCTTTTGCAATAACCAAGGCACACAGTGCACAAGCGAGACTGGAAAATGTTTCTGCACAACGAAAGGCATCATAGGGGATCATTGTGAGCGTTGCGACGTATCTAATCTCTACCACGGAGATCCTACAAATAAAGGGTCGTGTTTTTGTAAGTTAAATTCGATTATGACGTGTAATCAAGCACGATCGTATGTTGGTATTTTATATTTGAAATTTCCTCTGCAGATGACTTGGCGATAGATTATCAATTCACATTCAACTTGAGCAAGAAGGAAGATCGTCAGTACAGGGCGATCAACTTTAAAAATTCCCCGTCAAAACCCGATATCGACGCAGAGTTTTCCATCACCTGTTCCGTTCTCGCGAAAATGAACGTTACTATTAAGAGGTCGGACTCTCCAGAAATACCGCTCCTCCTTGGTGCGAACTGTACGACCAGCATGTACAAGCACCGTTTCAGCAAGGCTGATTACAGTTTCGGCAGCGAGGACAACAACACGTTGACCACGTTCTACGTGTACGTGTACGACTTTCAGTCGCCAGTATGGATCCAGATCTCCTTCTCGCAATACTCGAAACTGAACTTGCAGCAGTTCTTCATAACGTTTTGCACGTGAGTATTTTAAACTTGATCTTCAAAATAAATTGAAACGCGCGGATACGCGCATCGATATTTCTGTGTGTTTCGCGTAGGGAAGCCATTAGTGGGATAAATACATTAAGTTCGATCGTGTAGTTTGTTCGTCTTCTCTTTTTTTTTTTTCAAAATTTTCTACGCTTTTGTGTTGTCCTAAGCCTCAGGCAGTACTTACTTGTAAACTAGAGATTACATACCACCACCCAGGTGCTTCCTCGCTCTGCTATTGGTGGCCGCTGTCCTCTGGAAGATTAAACAAAAGTATGACATGTACAGAAGAAGGCAGAGACTCTTTGTAGAGATGGAGCAAATGGCTAACAGACCGTTCAGCCAAGTTTTGGTAGAAATCGAGAGGCGGGACGTCAGTAATTCGGATTCGGAACGAAGCGATTCCGAGTTAATCAATTGCCGCAAAAAGAAAAAGGTCAGCATCGCGTTTAATTTCTAGCTAAATTTTTTTTAACATTTTTCATATATTTTAATCAGTTTGGGCCCATCGACTTTACTTTAAAATTCTTTATTTCACCAGAGTCTGCAACTCTCTTCCTTATCATTCATCCAATATTTTCGTTCCTTCATTTCGAATAGTCCTAGTGTGAATCTGGTCAGTTCTCATAACTCTTTCAGCATCGCGTTTAATTTCTAGCTAAATTTTTTTAACATTTTTCATATATTTTAATCAGTTTTGGGCCCATCGACTTTACTTTAAAATTCTTTATTTCACCAGAGTCTGCAACTCTCTTCCTCATCATTCATCCGATATTTTCGTTCCTTCATTTCGAATAGTCCTAGTGTGAATCTGGTCAGTTCTCATAACTCTTTCAGCCATTCCTCTCTTTCCATTCCCTGTGAATGACAGTGCTCGTTCAGATTCACGGTTGCGTCTGGTTTCGGGTTTGGCAATTGACGCTATAATTGCCTTAATAATTCCAGGATGCTCCCAGTCCGATCGCATTGGAGCCCTGTTGCGGCAACAGAGCCGCGGTCCTGTCGTTGCTAGTCAGACTGCCTACTGGCGGTGAACCGTACACGCCGGCCGGCCAGAGTGCTGGCTTAGCAGTAGCGTCTGCGTTAGTTACATTGGGCAGTCCGCGAAGGTCTTCTCAGGAATTGACGACGAAGGAGCCGAAGAAAAGTCGAAAATCTGCCAGTCAGCATCCAGACTCCACTTGCATTTAGCGATAAGAAGGATAAGAGAAAGGAATACGTGAACATAGAGAGAGAGACGTAATATATAATTTCGTTGTGGGTGACTATGAGCCTTAGAACATGTTTCTGTGATCTTGCCTCCTACGCGAATTAGCAGGACTGACGAGAGAGGTTGAACCCTTCGAACTCTGATCGAGTGAAGTGTGATTTTCTTTTCCGCGACGAATCTTGGTTTCGTTTCCATCGCAGCGCGATCAGTCCGTGAAAATATTTCCGTGTTTTCCAAGAAGAATTTAATACTCATGCATCATGCTCCCTGGATCAGTCGAGCGTTTAGTTTGCTCGTTCATTAGCCGCGTGGGAGTAACAGGAATCATTTTCGTTACGCGTCGATTCATCGATGGTGGTAAGTAACGACTTTTTGAACTGTCCGTGTACGACGTTCACTTGGCTGACTTTGAAGCTTTACCCTATTTCTTTCGTTTCTATGCGACGATGTACAGTGTTTGTATATAGGTCTGTTCAGACGGTCCTCTTTTCGTTTCCATTGCGAGGTAGTTCATTCCGCGATCGAACTGTCTTCGAAAAGACGGCAAAAAAAGTGAATGTTTTCTTTTCCTTTTTTTTTTTCTCGTTACACCGTTAAGGGGTCCATTTATAACCACGCGACGAGCCGAAATACTGCTTTACAGTTTTTTCATTTTTGTTCGAAGACCTAGCTGCAATCTCGATTTTTCTCTCCAAATTAACCCTTTTGCAGATCATTGCAGAAGAGTTAATTTACAGTGTGAAACCTATACCGAATTGCAGTAGAAGAAAAGAGACAAGAGACAAAATATTATTTTTCGGTTATCCGAAACACTTGGAATTTTTTACTTTCCAATACTATAAACGTTGAACAAGGGTTGACGGAGCTCATTGAAAATTCGTTAGCAACCTAACCAAACTTGTTCGTACAAGGTTCGTTGATACAGCAACGAAGTTAGTATTTTCTAACGACTATACGATCGAACAGAGTGATTCAGCATTCAGTCATTGGACATTGCATGTACATATTAATGAATAATCAGAAATAATGATCAAACATTATCAATACATACCTCCACAGTAGTTGCTCATCTCGGCTCGTCTACTCTTCGTCACCTTGGTACAAATGGACGTTTTTTATGCGTGTGTGATATCCGCCGTGGATATGTAACCGTTCCCGCGTTTTTCGGTTACCCATCGTGGTGTCGCGAAGCTTCCCACAAATTCGCACGAGAGGTCGCCAAGTAAAGGTTTAGGGGGTTTGGGGATTGGTCTACGAACGAAAAATTGGAAAATTCGATTTGCCAGTTGCAGTTCGAGGATAATACTTTTCAGTGTTTCATTTTGTAAAACTGTAAATACTTGTGTTTTGTGTGTCTTCGGAGCGAGAGCGACGATTCGCGCGGGAATCAAAAAAAATGGCGCGGCCGAAAGTGAACTGTACAGATAAATTGGTACGAAAGATGGGAAGAGAGGAAGCGAGTGACAAGGAATTATATCGTTCGTGTATTCGTCTTCTAGTAAGGTGTAAAGATTCAATTCTAAATTAAACGGAGACGAACAGAGGCGACGTTTATTTTAGCGAAAACGTTGATTTTTAAGAGACGATCTTCATATTAGAATATATTGTGCCAAATCATTTTTCATATTGGTGATGTCGAAAAGTGGGAGAAAAATATCGGAATTCTATCAACGGAAGGATACAGTTGAGAAAAATTATGAATCGGGGATATATATTGTTTTCGCTGTCTTGTCTCTGTTCATCTCCACGGAGAAAAAATAGAGTTCATCGCACGATCGAAAAATCGATTCGGGAACAGAAGTAAATTTTTGTAGCATAAATTTGTCGTTTCGTGGAAACGTTCCTACGCTTTCGATCGTGCAGGACTCCGCGTAATTTTAATATATAACGAGCATAAAAAAAAAAAACAAGAAGGATGTGGACGTTGCAATAAGATGTAATAATCGCGGTACTTCTGTAGTCGACGATACAACATTTTTCGTTTCGCTACAAGATGGCGGTGCTGGTTGTTTCGCGTACCAAGTTTAACTTCGAAGTTGCATTATTTGATTGATTGAAAAACGACGATTGTATGTTATTAGTATATGGCTGTGTATATGTTGTTTCGGATTTGTTTTTTTGGTATACGAATTTGTATTCGCGGTGCGCAAATAAATATCAGCTGCTTCCGTTGTGAAATTCAAGATGATCTCATGTTTTACTTCCTCTTTTGAATTTGGAGGCAGCTCTTACGATTGTATGTGAAAAGGAAACAAAAAAACGTGTTATCTATTTTTTTTTTGTTGCCAGAAAGAATTTTAAGATGAACCTCCAGCACTTGCAGAAAATACAGAATTGCGGTGATAGCGTTATCCATTTTCTGTTTGACACGATAACCGATTATTTGGCGCCAGGATCCATTTACCCACGCTATTCAATGTAATTAGATTGTGTCCAAATGCGAAGAGCAAGGGAAGTAAGTACTGTATTTATTATGTAAACATAAGATTTTTATGGAACATTTTGTCTGTACTGTACGAGTAACTTTTTAAGGTATCGGGTATCCAAATATTTGGCAATCTAATTATTTTGAGCAGCGCATAAGACTTGCGTATGTCACGTGTATTACTCTAGCTTGTTAAGCTTTTTTTGTTCGCTGAACGCGAGCAATGCAAAACTGTATAAGTGTTTTTAATTATTGTACAGCACGGATCGAGTGCAATGCATTTTATTTTACCATGTAATACTCATTGAGTTTCTTTCATTCTCTCTATTATATCCAGAGTATTTTTTGTGAGGGTGCAACCAGACAGCGTAGAATTTAAATATGACAAAAGTTACCTTCTATTCTGAGTCTCGAGAAAGGAGAGTTGTTATTTATTCTTATTATTTTCTCGCTTAACTCTGGTTGCGTCCGTGTTAAGAGCGCGGTGTACATTTTATTACCAGGAAGATTAATTTAATTTTTTATACAACTATTTTTTTTTTCTTTTTCTTTCTGTTTTATTCGAGCAGTGCGATTTTGTTCTTCGTGCGAGAATATAGTTGTATATACGAGTAAATGTTATGTTATTTAAAAATAGGAGTATTGAATATTGCTCAACTTTGAGTAGACTTTTCATTGCTTTCGAGAATAGCTTTTTTAATAAATTTCTATATTTAAAGTCGTGTCGCTTGGACGTGTTTAGTAAAGAAGAAAGTATCTAACAGGGAAACAGTAGGTTTTACATAATCGGAACGATCCTTAATTATTTGTCGCCGTTCTTCGTCCCTGTTCTCTTCTTTTCGTCCGTTGCGTTTGTCTGGCATAGTGTTTCCCAACCTTTGTGCCTCCCATTTTGGTGAATTTTTGACTATACCCAAAAAAAAATTCAAAATTCTCTCTAGAGTGTACACCCAATCTTGGGAGACACCGGTCTAGCATTTTGATACTGCCAATATTCATCGACTGCCACCTAATTTTTATGATCTATCTTGTCTTCGTATCCAAACAATTCGAACGATCATTTAAGCCCTTTGTGCCTGAGTTATCGATACAGAAATCATCAAACACATAAGCCAATTAGGTCAAGTACATTTCATACACATGAGCACGTATTAAACTTTCCCAAGAATATTCTCATAAGAAAGATTTCTGCTAGGCCAGGCCAGAAAGCTTACAAAGTTTTATCAGAACTTGGTGCCAATTAGTAACATCTTTTAAAGCTCCTAAATTTTATTTCATCGTGCTTCTTTGTCCTAGTTTCGTATAACTTTGCTCTGCATTTTCAGGGGACTTTGCCAAAGTAGACTTTGAATTACTCTTTTTCATAAGATTATCTTCTATATCCGATAAGATCTTCTCTGTCTGATTTCGTACAGGTTTGTTAGTTGAATTTGATAGATGGCGTTCTCTTATATTTAATTAGTACTGTGCCAGGCAGCAAGGGGTTGATCCATAACCTATGAAACGGAGTCGCACATCGTTGTTGTTCATACACCATTCGTGTCAGGATAATCAGTGATAGCAGCTCTCGAATCTCCATGATATACACGAGCTTTTGAAAAGCTTTCGACTTCCTTACGCTGGGAGATCACTGTGACAGAGATCCTACCGCGATTAACCATGCTCCTTCAATTCGTCCAGTGAATTAATTAGCGAACGAGAGACATTCAACGTCATGTAACGGAGGAGAGCGTCCTCGGCCCAAAAAGTCAAACGACACTCAGTCATAATCTACATAATAGACCAGGTTTTTAGATCGTTAGTGGTAACGGTAGGCGGTTAGCATTCGACCTATAACGTAATACGGTGTTTCCAAAACGTTTTCGAGTTCTTTTGATTCGAAAATAACGAACAGAATGTCATATCCATTGAAATCGAGACGCGGTTCGACCGAATCGTGTGTAATTACAGCCAAAACAGTCTTACACTCAGAGTTGGGCACATTTTTATCTAGATAACGAATAAGATTAACGAACAACGTTTCATCCGGACAAACTTTCGCTCCGTAAGTTACTAATAAAGTTTATTTGCGATTAAAATTCGATTCCCCGTTCGAATAACGAATAACGGTTTCATTCGGGAGTTTATTGTTCGAGTAAATGCTTTATCCGGACGTTCGATTCGGGTAAAGATTTATTCAAATTGTTCCGTAAAGCCCAACTCTGTTCACGCTTAGGTGTCGAGAGGTAAACATTTAAGAAATCTCCGAGCCGATGCCCGTCGTCGAATGAAAGAAGTCAGTTTTGCGTTGTTTCCTTTTTAATTTTTCTTTCTCGGTGGCTAGCATTCAAAGATGATACAGATTTTTATTCGTGCTCGCGGGCCAGCCGACCATAGGCCAGCCACACGTTCGTGAATACTTAACGTAATCTGTAAGTAGGTAGGTATATTATACGATATAGCTTGCAACAATTTTTCTAGGACACAATCGAAAATATTTATTTTTATTCAAGCGTAAGCGTAAGGTAACTCTTTGATAAAACACGTTCAACAGAAACAAACAAATGAAAATTAATGAAACATTATGATGCTATAGGGAGAGAAAGGAGAGTATGTGATGGAATGAGGAAACCTCTCGAATCTTGTATGTATAGCTCCTTTGACACTCTATGCAAGAGAAAGGACAAAAGTAATCATAACTGCACGGACATATACATGTATGTATATGTATTGTATGTATCATGATAAATCGAATGGCGATACAGGTATGCACAACACGTTACTATTGCATTGTCGTTGTTGTTCTCTTCGGCGTCGTCGGTTGAGAGAACAGGAAGGATCCCAAATGCCAGGGTTTCGAAACTAAAAGTGTGAAGTTAATAAGTTAAATTGGAAGTCGAAATAGGGATTCGAGAACCAGATCGTTGAAGGACATTTTGCCTGTTTCACGCGCGTGAATTGTTTTAGGCGGGCTCCAATGTTTATTCTTCTTGATCCTGCAACTGTTTTCTAGTTCTTCGACCGGAATGGAAAAGTACTTATGTTGGCATTTGGCGTCTTTCGAGGACTGTCCGTAAAATTCGCCCGAGCTTGCTAACGATCGTTCTTAACTTACATGTAACTTGTCATTTGTATGTAAACACGCAATTGAAACTTATTCGTGACGGTGTGGTGGGTCAGTTTGAATGGCTTCCGTACAATTGTATTTTATAATCGAAACTTGATTTCGTTTTCCTTACCCGTCAGAACTGCGTGTACATATACAGGGTGAGTCACCTAACGTTTGCACCTGAAATGTCTACAATGGGCCTCACACGATGCCAAAAATATTTTTATTTCTATGCCATTTTTTTAAATGGGATCACCCTTTTTGAAACACCTACAATGATAGTCCCTTTCATTAGGAATTCAGTGACCATAATTATTCAAGGTCACGATCGGAGAAAATGTATAAAATTTAAAAATGACATAGAAATAAAAATAATTTTGGCATCGTGTGAGCCCCATTGTACCAGTCAATTTTGTCCTCAAGACATTTGACGTATCTTTAATAATAACAAAGATATTTCAGGTGCGAACGTTAGGTGACTCTACCCTGTATATACAGGGTGCGACGATATCATTGTAACTGGTTTCAACTAGTTGGAAGCGAAGATGGAAGGAATGTAATTTTAATAATAGAGAATCTCAGTTACATTTCTATTTGTCCATTGTGAAACATTTCATTCTATGATTGAAACGTTTATTTTTTAGTTATTTAGTTGGAAACTCTTATACAGGAGGACAGATAGTACCATACCATCGCTGAAAGTTTCCAAACGCTAACGCAAGTAGAAATAACGAGTAATGGGCAGACACGACGTTAGCCAATCGCACGCGAACAAAATTTTTCAGATCAATTCGCGTCCCGTTTATTTAAATTTGATATTCCGTTTATTTACATTCGTTCTGTACGAATACGTCCAGAGAGACATATCGAGCAAGTTTGATTTATTAAATGGTTGCTCGTTTTTATGGGATAACTTTAAAATAGTAAGAGATATTTAAAAAAGTTTACGACAGAAGTAGCATAGTATTTTAAGTCTACAAATTTATGACGATAAATTTTATTTTTACTTGTAAATAACAGAATATATTATACATCTTATCTATTACAGATAAATCATGGTTGTATTATTTCACACCTTAATCTTGGCAAGCGGTAGTTTCTTTTTCTCTAGAAGTCTTTTTAAGTTGGTCCATTTCATAAAATCGAATGCTATTTCATATTTTTAAGTAGACGAGTAATTCTTATTTTTTGTTTCAACTTTTTTTATTATATCTCTTACGATTTTGAAGTTGTTTTGTAACAAGGAGGACCCTTTATTTGCTCAGGATCAGTTTCAACATTTTTTGAATTAATTTACCAAATTCCCGTTGTTCGTTATTCGCAACAAATTGAAAATGTATTCGTCGATGCTTATCTTGCTTTGCACGGGAAACAAAAAGAAGAGTAAGAGATCGAATATGACAATTTAAAGGATACGTTTAATCGGTTCGTCGCTGAAAGCAAACGTATATATATGTATATTAATGTATACTTTTCAAAGACTGGCAAATGGCATTTTTCCGTGGAAACATAAACGAGACAAGTGGAAGAGAGGTGAGGGTGAACAGAACAAGAGAGAAAGAGAGTGTGTGCGTGTGCACGTGTGTGAAAGAGGGGCGAGAAGTTTCAAATGATGCTCGTATTTTTGTGCTAGAAGTTTAACGAAAAACGAAAAAAAAGAAAAAGGAAACAAGAAACAGAAGACGAAGAGGAGGTGTAGATTATTAGCATGAGAGACGCGAGCGTGAATAGCAGAGTGGAACAAAATGTATTGTATTATATTAAATGAAACAGATATTGTTTAAATAAAATTGATATACATAAAGTTTTACATCGATTCGTCATTTTTCCAGGATCATTTCACGGAATCGTCTCGTTTATAAGTAGCTAGAAATTGTAAAATAAACGTAAACGAGTGGGACACCCGGTAGACCTTTGATCCGCCCTCGCAGTCGCTCAATTTGCCCTGCATTCTCTCACTTGTTGCTCGCCCTTAGTCGTCCCAATCCATACCTCATTCTTCGTCTGCGAGCCATAGTATCGCCGAGTAGAAAATAAAAGCCACGGAGGTTTTAATAAACCATCCGTCTGAAACGCGGCGGGGGAGGAGCGCTCCTCGAATGCGCGTCAGTCGTTCAGCAAACAGGATATTAAGCCCATCCGAGGCAGATTTCAGCCCGTGAAAGGGAAAGAGAAAAGTAGAAAACGGAGAAAGGGTGCCGGATCCCGACCCGAGATAGCTTATCCTTCCGGGTCTCTGAATGCATATCTCCCTTTCATCCAAACGGCCCTGTGACAGTTTTCATTTGGCAAATGGACCACAGCACGCGTGCAACGCCGGGGAAAGAAACGGACGGACGAAATCAGGAAATCAGATTACCCGGTGGCTCTCGAAATAAAAGCCGTAACCTGACGGCGCGCGTTCGAATTAACCGTGGAATCGAATTAAAAGAAACCAAGCCGCGCGCGGAGCTTTCAACGGGGTGGGAATGAAGGGGCTAGGGAGAGGGCGCGGTGGGCCGAGATTTATAAAATGAATATTGATGTGCACGTCGGTCGACGAAAATAGGATTCGGACGAAAACGTACATCGGCCGATGCGTCGAAACCGCGCTAGAAATCGATTTTGTTCCTCGTTACACAAAACGCGGGATTTTAATGACAAACAATGCAACGCGATATTTTCGACGGCGACGGAATCGATCGCGGAGAGAATACCGAATTCCTCCGCGAACGATCGCTTTACAGAGGCCCGGCGGTACGTACCGTGAAATGGATAGAATTCTGAGTCCCGTGGAGTTTGTGTACCTGTGGTTAAATTCGGTTGGATCTGATTTTTCGTTGTTTGAAATCAACCCCTCGATTTTTCGTCTCAATTCCCGGTTTCGAGTAACGGTAGTATTCTCACCACTGTTCGGCTATATCGAACGTCGGTTATCATTACTAGTTTTCTTTCTGGATAAAAGTCTAGAAAAAAAGCACCGTTTCCGTCGTTTCAAAATGCAAACAACGCGTATCTTAGTGAAGAATTTCGACGAAATTAAAAAATTTCAAATCGTTCTAAAAAAATTATTCTCAGTTGCGGGGATCAATTACGATCATTTTTGGTGAATACACATACCCCCGAAATCTTATACACTTTCGAGAAAAAAATTCGAATAGATGCCTAAATTTTTCGGCGAAAAAAAAATTTTCCAATCGTTCTGGAAAAATTATTTTTGTCTGCGGGGGTCAATTTCCATCATTTTTGGTGAATAGACATACCCTCGAAATTCTACGCGTTTTCGAGAAAAAAAATCAGGAAGATGGACAATTTTTCGGCGAAATTAAAAATTTCAAATTGTTCTGAAAAAATTATTTTCGATTGTAGCGGTCAATTTGAATCATTTTTAGTGAATACACATACCCCCGAAATCCTACGCGTTTTCGAGAAAAAAATTCGAATAGGTGCTGAAATTTTTCGGCGAAATTGAAAAGTTTCAAATCATTTTGAAAAAATTATTTTTGCTTCTGAGGGTCAATTGCGATCATTTTTTGGTGAATAGGCATACTCCCGAATTCTTACGCATTTTCGAGAAAAAAATATATTTTCTTTACCGAAAATATAATGTGTGTCCAGAAATGTTTCTGTAACTTCAAGGATAATCGGAATTATTTTTCAACTATTTTATTTGACGTTGCAATCGGTGATCTAAACGTGTCGGTGGATAAATATTGGAACGATCGTCTAGTCGACCGGCAGCGACTATAGTCAGTGAAAAATCACTATCTTGCTACATGGGTTCGTTCCATTCTGTAAACAGACTTCTTCTCGGGTCCGTCAAATATCGAGGCGCAGGTTGTTGACGCAGGGCTTATAGAAAAAATTACATCGCGAGCCGGGAGCCGAGTTTGTCGAACAGGAATCTCTCGGTGCTCAAATATTTTCGCAGCACGCGAGAGCCCGGAAAGAGTAGCACGCGCGCGGGAAGACGCTGGAAAAGGATCCTGGATCTCGTTTGGCAAATGTCACGGGTCAAGTCCCCGCTACGTAAACGGGCTCGTCGAGTACATATACGCGAAGCTATTTTCTCGGCTGGTAACGCGATTACAACCAGTCGCGTATCACATCCGCAGGTTTTTCAGTCGTGGAAATGGCTAACGGAGAGCGGATTTCGTAGGCGGTTCCTTGATCATTTTACAGTTTAGCACGACGTATTTACGATACCCGCGGCCATTTTGCTTCGCCCGCTGGTGAATTACGATCCTCGTATTTAAGTACGACCCTGCTCGCGACACACAGAGTCCGCAGATTTGCCTATTTCTGTCTCTGCGACGTCCCGGTAGACGTTATTGGGTTCCTTTGTCGGAAAACACACACGGAAACGAAACTACAAAGACCACAGAATGTGGTGTTCTTTCGAAGAACAGAGGTTTTCACAAGAGAGAATCCAAAGTGCCCAAATTGTGATGCATTGTTTCATAAA